ATATATATATATATATATATATATATATATATATATATACATACATGTTAAGATTCTGCATATAAATCTTAACCTTATCTGTGTGTGTGTGTGTGTGTGTTCAGGGTATCAGTGTGTTGTGCCCATGTAAAAAAACTAATTTTACAAATAAAAAAAGCACTTTCAAGATGTTAGTAAAATAACGAAGATTTTTCTTAAAATATTAAGAAACATAATAATGTATGGTTTTAGATATTCTACTATAGTATAGTAATTAAAATAGTGGCTGAAGATAGCCAAATGGCAGTACCTAAAATTAAAAAGCAGATTACAATAATAAATATGAATATGATTTTAATTAATATGATTTGAATATGATTTTATTTCAATTGTTATTTCAGTGGAAATTGCTAAGATGGTACCTGATACATTTCATACTAGGCAAGATGATTACTCACAATATGGACTGCTTTTATTATTGATAATGGAATGATGACTGACACAACAGAGAATACGTCAGGGATAGCTTACTCAGACGGCTTGTTAATACTATCTAAGAACATAAGTTACATTAATCACAAAAAGGGTTCTATGTAGACATGCTGTTTTCCAACATAATTACCAGCTTTTTCCTGGAAGTTTATACAGTAAAAGGGTATATATGCAGTAGCTCTTCCACATTGTTCTGCTCCTATTTACAGCTATGCTATTATACTCCACTCGTTTTCTGAAGGCTAAGCATACCCACCTCTTCAGTCTCTCTTAATAAGTTTTATTTGGTAGTCCCCGAACATTCTCTTTTTTTCCTTCTCTGAACCAGTTACAGTTTCTCTGAATCCTTCTTAAAAGGTGATGCCCAGAACTGGACTCAAGACTTAATATAGTGTCTGACCAAAAAAAATGTCTGATTTGAAATTATACTCCTGCTATGTAGCTTCAAACTCATTTGCTTTTTTTCTAAACGTCATTCTGCTAACTCATAGTCACGCAATAGTTTGACACTCAACTATTATTCCAATATTTTTTTCACAAGTACTGTTACCAAGTTAAGTATTCTACATCTTGAATTTTGTTTTCTAAACTTTTGCATTTGTCTCTATCAGATGCCACTGTTATTTTCAGCCATCTTGCTCATCAAGATAGTTTTGAATTTTATTTCTATCTTCTAGGGTGTTAGCTGTCCCATTCAATTTTGCATCATTTCCAAATTTCATAAGCATACACTTTTGCTCATAATCAACTAAGTACTGACTAGTATCAAGTTAAGGCTAGCTGATTACCTTGTGCCTTCCTCCCTCTAAAGGAGAAAGTTATCAGAAACACAGTTCCTAAATTCCTAGAAGGATCGTGCTTGACACTTTGTCTTCCAACAGATGATAGCTTCCTGTAACTACAACTTTATTAATTTTTTTATTGTATCTATATAGATGCTTTATGCTTCTTTGAAAGATCCACAGTTTGCTTTTTGAAGGTTTCAGCCATATCGAGTAATAGTAGATACCAACAGTATTTCTTTTATTTCATTCAGATGATTTATACAGTATTGCCAAGTTCATTAATTTGGACTCCTGAGAAGCAATGGATATATTTAACATATAGTGCAATTCCTTCTCTATTTCTATTCTTTCTGTCCTCCTGAATAAGTTGTGTCTTTTAGTTGTTATAATCCAGTCATGGGAAACATTCCACCAGGTCTCCATTATTATATTTACTGTTCTGTAATAAAACTTAAACTCATCATATTTCTCATATTATAAACATTAGTGTATGGACAATAAAGGCTATGTATTTTATGTATCAGTATTCATACCACATGTGTATTTTTCACTGAGTAGTTTAAGAACCTCCATTTCAATATACTCTCTTTCTACAGTAAACTCTTCTTTATCTGAGATCCTCATTTGAGGAATTCTGTTTCTGACTTTTCAAGCCTCTAATGAAGATTACCATGCTCTGACAAAACATATTCCTTCCAGTCTTTGTGAGTTGCAGTCTGTTTCATACCAATAATCTATCTGAATAATTCCAACCATAATCCTAGGACCCAGATCTCTCCCGTTGACACCATTTGTGTAACCAGTTCTTTCATTTTTTTTTTACTTGAAATATTCTTTCCCTTTCCAGTCCTCCATGGAATAAAAGGATGGATGAAAACACCACCAAAAACTCAAAGATCTTGAGCTTCTTTCCAAAACCATAATGATGCAGTTGTAGCTGTTCTTTGCAATCTAAAATCATTCTTTGCAGTTTATATTAGCTCAGGTTAGAAACCTTTATACCTCACAGTTTAGAAAGAGTTAAATGTAGCAAAACCAAATAGTGCCTGGTAAGGATTTAGTTTTTTGTTTTTGTTTTAATATTGCATGTAAAAAACACTGGCCTGACTGTAGTTCAGCCATAATCATATCATATTTAGAAGATTACCATAGGAATTATCACTGAATCCTGAAATAATGTGAAATATGAATATTTAGGAATAAGCTTTTTGCATAAACATACAGAACAAGTGACAATATGAATAGATTTCTGTATGACTTTGTTCTGGGAGTTAATTCAGAGTATTTTAAAAATTGAAATGCATCGTTTATAAACTGAAGAATACATTCTCTCTAAATAAGGACTTCATGACTAGAATGTCTGAAAAGTTTTTATTAGTTCTGTAATAAATTACATGCAGTAAACACACACAAACCTTCCTTCCCTTTACCTCTCATTAGCTCTTACACTTGAATTAAGTGTGGCATACCCAACTGTCAGCCTTTTGAAATAGATCATGGTAGATGATGTGAACTACTGGAACTCTATTGTTATAGGATATTAAAAATATATATCTTGAAAGCTTGATAGAGATTCTCCACCCCCTTTATACTAATCAAGGTGGTGGGACAATCTTGAGTTTTTTCCTTACCCCCTTCTGCCTATCTGGGCTAAGCTGATGTTTACTTAACAGTCATTGGAATCTTTCTCTAAGGCCATCTCCGCAATCCTCTACACTGACCAGACTGCCCATCCCTTTCTCTTTCTAGTGTCTTCCTTTACCTTAGCTACTGTACTTGACTTGAAGCACTATACCTGACCAACTCCCAATTTAGTCTCTTTAAATAGGTTACAAATGGCTTTAAATTGATTTTCTGTAAACTACAAGCCTCTCTGAATATGAAAAATTCACACATTCAGTTCTAAAAGTTGACCAGCATTTTTAGTTAACTTATCATTGTTGCTCTTATTTAAAAGGAAATAGAAAGCAATTATTTATATTTTGAATAGTTTTGCTGATTGTAAAAAAAAATTCTTAGTATACTACTCCATTCATGAACTGTCATGCAGCAATAAGAAACACAAATGTTTTAAAGATTTCTTAAATACTAAGAGATTGTGCCAGAAATATCTATGGAGTACATGTTATCCAGAGGATAGTCAAAGTTGCGCTGGTTCTTTGAATAATTTCATCATTTTGTAGACAGTAAACAAAACTATGAATAAATATTGGCATACCTGTGTATAGGTAAAAAACATATATAGTTTAAATACTTCTCTGAATTTTAAATTATACCAAATGTTAAAACTATTTTCAAAAAAGTTAATTTTTTTTCATTAGCTTTTCTTCTCCATATCGTCATATCTTAAGGAACAAAAATATGCAGGTCATATAGAAGACTTCATTTGGAAGCTACAAGTGTATTTACATATTCTGTGTCTTCTATATTCATCTTTTCACATTTGCTTTATATTAGGGTTACCATATTTTAACTTTTTAAACCCAAGGATGGGATTATTATATAATAAGCCACACTATTTATTTTATTTATTTAGAAAATTTATACAGCCACCCATCTTAAATACATAACTATGGGTGATGAACAATAAATACAAAGACAATATAAAAACTCACAATCCATTAAAATAATACAGTCTACTTTCCTGAATGTATTTAGTTTTGTTCCTTTAAAATGTGAACTGCAGATACCTCAATAAATCTTTTACAGTTTTTTTTAGTTACTACCAATAGGGCTAACTGGAACTGAAGAAGTTTCAAATCAATACCCTTTGCCCTTTACAGACCACTGTCTGTTATAATTCAGATGTTTCTCCTTTTTAGAAGCATTACTTCTTACAAGCATTACTTGTAAGAAAATCAAAAGTCTCTGCCACTTGTCAACCAGTATTTATGGATACAAAGTTTCCTACCATTTGGAAACAGTTGTTTGTCACACAGCTCAAAGAACACTCAGTATTACTGACACTGAAAATTCTTTTAATTGATTGCAGATTACTAGCATCATTTCTTAAGTATCTGGTCCTGCCTTAATCTCAAGAATTAAAATAGTGATGTCACACTGATTTTGCATATCGCTCATTAATTGATTAGAAGTCCATATAGCAAGCATGCAGCTTCCTATTTTTCTCAACCTCATCAACTTAGGTTTGTCGTCATCTTAATAGAATAAAATTCAAATATTAAATTCGTCAGATAATGAAAGCTGACTTCCTGAAGTTTCAAATGTTTTCTGAAAGAAAACGTTATTAGGGAAATTTCTTCCCCTTATAAGTTATCTCTGCCTTGATACAGTTATGAAATTGTAAGCCCATGATCTAGTACACCAATGTTTGTTAAATAATCTCTTTCACATACACTTTTTCTCTTTCTTTGCAACAGATCCTCAGAAATTGAAATCACAATGTTCTGACCTGATATACTACTGTTTGTGGCACAAAAGTATGAGATTCTAGTCCAATAATACCATAATGTTTTTCGTATGGTATGAAATTATAAGGCTATGCCTTGGTAAAATAGTATTTCTAGCTGAATTACCCCACCCCAATAAACCAGTATTAAGTGATCTGTCTCTAACAAATTTCCCTGAAGAAAAATAAAGATTATATCAAATGACAAACAAGGACTTTTCCAAAACTGCAAACCTCTCCCAATAAACCAGTATTTGTTAAATGATCCACCTATATGGAAAAAGGGAGAGGAAGCCACACATCTTTGGCAAATAAATCAGTGTATGTGATATGAAATCATATGTCTCTGGCAATTCAGTTAGTGTTTCTTGTCTCTTGTTAAGTCTCTGGTACTTAAGTCATGAAAACACAAGGCTCTGCCTGATAAAACTATATTTGTTAAAAGCTGACAGCTTTCTTCTCTGAAGCACAAAAAAAAAAGAAGTATAAAATCAAACTCTTGCCCCAGTGATGCTTTTGAAAAATAGTGGCTTCCTATGCCTATTAAACTAGCATTTAAGTAATCTCTCTCTCTGAAACAAAAATAAGTATGAAATCACCACTCTGTTGCTAAAACCAATATTCGCTATTATATCAGAAGTTTTTCCGAGCTAAGCCAAGTGTGGTATGAAATCACGGTGACACTTAAATCAAATGTTTGTGATATTAAATTAGAAGTCTCTATCCCAATAAACCAGCATTCCTAATAAATCACAAGTCTCTGAGTAAACAAGGAGGTCTGAAATCAAAAGACTCCCCAAGGTAAAATTGTGTGTGTGGGTGGTGTGAAACCATAAGTTTCTATAACTAAGCCATAATTTGTGATAGGAAATCTTAAGTATGAGAAGTAAACCAGTGTTGGATTCAAAAAAAATCTACTTGTGTTTACGTGATATCCTGTCCTCCCTGAAACGAACAGCAACACAAAGCCTGAAGCATGCTTTTGGACATCTCATTACCGGCAGTACCTTTATTTATATGCTTACCGGCCACTCCCTTTCTTCTTTTGCTCACTAAGTAGGAGGTATCAAGCAAAGTGTCAGTCCCAGAGGCTATAACTGGGAAGCACTGTTCGTGTGCTTTTTTACTTTGACAGAGGCCTCCTTATGCCGTTTCAGTCTTGGATATTTTTATTCTCTGCCTTATAGATCGTGACTGGTGAAGAAAGTATGTGTATACAATCGTAACTCCCTCTCTCCTTTTCTTTTTTCAGACTTTGAAAAATAATATGAAGTATATATAGAATTATTTCTGCAAACCAAAAGAAGAAATGTGATATATTTTGCTGATATTGAGAAAGAAGAATCAGCATAAAATCCCTGCATACAATACTAGCTAAGAACTCCTGGGTTTTGATAGTTGCTATTATATTTTAAAAACCTTTCCCCAAATGATATTGCATTCAAAGTTAAAAGGGAGATGAATATTACAAAGATGATCAATCAGTATTTTCACAGTTCTTCAGATTACATTAACTTTATTCACTGGAGTTTCTGATATTTTTATGCTCTATTTTGACTTCAGATTTTAAAAAACTATTTTCATAAACCAAATAGAGCATAACAACGTTATCTAAGTGCAAGCTCAAGACTTGGAAGCATGATCACAGTGCCATACTTTTTTTAAAGTCGATTGTCTGAATCTGCCTTGTTCTGCTCAGCTTCCTTACATTTTACTTTATAAATCTGTATTTATTTCCTAAATAATGGCATGGGCAAAATTCTTGAGAAAACCTGGAGGAAATCTTGGAAAAGTATATCAGCCTGGAAGTGTGATGTCCCTGGCTCCCACGAAAGGCTTATTAAATGAACCAGGACAAAACAGTTGTTTTCTTAACAGTGCTGTACAGGTAAGGAAGAGCTACATCAATCCTTGTACTGAATGTTGAAAGCATTATATTGAACATATGTTTTATTGCAGATATGTTAATCTAAATTCCTGTTATTGTGTGTCAAGGGTTTTCCATTTCATAATTTTGATTAGTTCTATATCCGTTGTAAGAGAAAAGTCTTACAAAAGTGGCAACAGAGAGTAAATGATTACTCTGATTATTCATAAACTACAGTGTAATTTTTATTTGGTTGTTTATATAAGATGAGATGATAAACAAGAAAAAAATATTGTAGACCAAAGAAACCAAAACAGGAAGTACCAGAATGAAAGGATAAATTCCATAGGATGCTAAAAAGATACTTATTTTGAAAAAAAAAATATAGTACAATGGATTTCAGAGTTCTTCATCGGGGCAATGCTTAATA